CACACACACACACACACACGAAATATAAGCAGTAGTTCACTTAAGTGAGGACCCCATGGATCTGGATGTCCTGTTTACCTTTATGCTCAGGGGCTTTGTTGTAGTGATTTGTTATTCATAATGGCTATGAAATAGGACCTTAAGAAAAAAGACAGGGGGAAAAAATGAGGACCTGATACCGGGGCTTAAGTGGAGAGCAAATGTTTTGAGAATGACGAGGGTAATGAATGCACAAATGTGCTTTACACAATTGCTGTATGTATGGATTGTGATAAGAGTCATATGAGCCCCTAATAAAATGATAAAAAAAGAAAAAAGACAGTAATTCTCTACAGGTTGGAGGGGGTGCTGGGTGTGGGGGAATGATCTTTGAGAGTGTCTGTTGCTAAACCAGGCAAAACCAATCTATTCTGCTACAAGTCAAGATAGTAACTAGGAGGGTACAGAGAGGGCGGCTTTCGGGTGCTCTATCGCTCTGGGTGCTGTTTACCTAGACTATACAGTTTGCGAACATATTTTCTCCACTGAACTGTGTCCTCCAAATATGAGTACTGTATGCACGCTAGACTTCCATTTTTTAAAATGTAGTTTTCCTGGTACCAGAGGAAGAGAGCGGTGCTGTCTGAGTAGGCAAGAAAAAAAATACAGGAAATTCAACCCCAGCTCCTTTACAAAGCCTTCCTAGGCGTGGCAAGATGTCCCCTCAGGAAGGAAAATAAATGCTTGCTGTCATGAGGGGCCCCTGAGTCAATTCCAACTCACAGAGCCCTGGTGACGGAGCAGAGATGCCCCAGAGGGTTCTTTAGACTGCTGTCTTCACGAGAGCAGGGCACCAGGTCTTCCGCCGATGCCCCCGGGGGTGGGGGTGGGGGGCAATCGTGCCACTGGTGGTCCTAAATGCTTGTTAGGATGTGATAGATCATATGGCAATTTGACTTGAGATACGAGGAGAGCTTCAGAAAACGTGTCCCAAATGGAATGAAAATATCATGCAAATTTTTGAACACCCTCCTGCAAATATCTTCTCTTAAAAAGCTTTGTCTTAAAGATCCTTGCAGGGCCTAAGTAGTAGCTCCTATCTCTTCCATCCTCTCTCAGCTCAATGCCTACACACAGAAACCAAACCCAACCCATTGCCACGCGTCAGTTCCGACTCCTGGGGACCCTGTATTCCTAAACTGTAAATCTTCAAAGAAGCGGACAAACTCATTTGGAGTAGCTGGTGGATTTGAACCACCGGCCCTATGGTTACTGGCCCAATGTTTCATCCATTGCGCCAACCAGGCTCGTTAAGCCTAACACAACACCCAGTAAATTGTTCAGCATCCAATAAAGGATGGATAAATGAAACAATCACTGCAGGAATGCAGGAAATTCTTTTCTCTACAGATGAGCTTACCTACTTTTCTGAGAAAATAAAAACCAAGTGTCTTAGGATTTTTTTAATCCTCTTTTTTTCCCCCCCTCTTTTTCTGAGCTGCTTGGAAACTTCAACCTGAGGAGGTTAGACTGTTTGATACATCCTCTCTAAGGGAACTTTGAGCCCTGCACAGTTGTAGGCTGGCCTTACGGGGGATTCTCAGAAGACAAGGGTGCTCACTTGGGGCCCTTGCAGGGTTCTCCATGGTCCAGCAGCCTCAGGGCGGCACGTCCATAGCAGGCTTTTCATTATGAAGAACTGAGGAAGGCTTATTAGGCTGGGAGGAGCTCAGAACCACTAGGAAGCCCTCAAGGACCAGAGAGCTGTAATGATTCTATAGCCATCAACCACCCTAACCCTTCTGCATTACAGATGGAGAAGCCATGTAGGGAGCAGGACTGAGCTCCAGGTCTCTTGCCAAATTGGTAAGACCCAAACTTGCACTCAGGTTCCCTGAGGCTGGGTGGCATGTTGTCAGCATCACCCTCACCTTCAGGGAGCATGGGGCCAGCCCTTCAAGCTAAAACTTTTTGTCTATTGAATTCTTTCAATGACTCTAGGGGGAATTTCATTTTACAAGTGAGAAAACAGAGGTTTAGAGAGGTGAAGTGGATCACCTAAAGCAGTGGTTCTGAACCTGTGGGTTGCAACCCCTTTGGGGGGTTGAACGACCCTTTCACAGGGGTTGCCCGATTCATAACAGTAGCAAAATGACAGTGATGAAGTAGCAAAGAAAATAATTTTATGGTTGGGGGGTCACCACCACATGAGAACTATATTAAAGGGTCATGGCATTCAGAAAGTTGAGAACCACTGATCTGAGTTTTCAGAGCTGGTAAATTTATACAAATTTAAATCCAGGCAAGCCTGACTGTTTAGAGTACTACATTTTGCTATATAAATCCATTAAATGACATAAATTATAAAATTCCCAGTGGTATTTTAGTGTAGAAAAAATACTCAATTTCTTCAGATGAGTCAGTAAATTTCCTTTGTTCAGGCCATGAGAAAGGCCTAAATTTCTTGGTTTCCCTTTTAGCCCTGGCTACCAGGAAGCTTGGCACCAAATAAAAAATGAAAAAAA